CTAAATCAATGAGGGATATGGGTCCACAGTATTCTGTACTGTCTTTAATTTTGGTATCAGCCTCACAAAACAAATTGAGAAGTGTTTGCTTCCTCTTCTTTATTTCTGCATGAGATTTTATATAATTGGTATTATTTATTCCTCAAATGTTTGGTAGAAATCAACAGTAAAACTGGGCCTTCAGTTTTCTATTCTGGAAAGTTTTTAAGTAAAGATTTGATTTCTTTAACAGATATGGGACTATTTAGGGTATCTATTTCTTCTTTGCAAGTTTGATAGTTTGTGTCTTTCAAGGAATTGGCCATTTTTCTTCTCATTGGCTGAATTTATATGCATAGAATTACTCATAGTACCCACTTTCTATCATTTTAATGTCTAGGGATCAGTAGTTTTACTCCCTAATGTTGTCCTTTAGAAGAGAGGATAAATGGATAAATAAAAGTGGTATGTACATAAATGGACTATTATTCAGCCTCAAAGAGGAAGGAAATTCTGCCAYATGCAAYAACATAGATGAACCCTGAAGGCACTATACTAAGTGAAAAAGGCCACAGAAAGATACATACCACATGCTCACACTCATATGTAGAATCTAAAATAGTCAAACTCATAGAGTCAAAACACAGAATAGTGGTTACCAGCATCTGGGGGTGAAGGAAATGGGAAATTAATACTAATTACATATGTCAAATTYCATTATGTGAGATGAATAAATTCTAGAGATTTGCTATACAACACTGTACCTGTAGTCAATGATACTGTATGTACACTTAAAATTTTGAGAGGATAGGTTTCATGTTTTATTTTAAAATTCAGGAGACATGGATGCATTTTGAGAAGGAGATAGACAGACAGACAGACAGACAGACACACACACACACACACACACTCCTATCTAAATGAACTTGACTACACGAGGCATGGTGGTGCACACATGTAATCCCAGTGACTTAGGAGGGTGAGGCAGGAGGATTGCAAGTTCTAGGCCTGCCTCAGCAACTTAGTGAGACTCTAAGCAACTTAATGAGACCATGTCTCAAAATAAAAACTGAAAAGGGCTAGGGATGTAGCTCAGTGGTTTAAGACCCCTGGGTTCAATCCTCAAATGAGTTTAACTATAACTGAAATAACTTTGTCCTYAGAGAAGGGTGACAGTTTCTTTGAGCCCATTTCTTCTAGAAAAGGTCCCTGACATCCAAAGACAAGGTGGGTATCTCTATACTCTGCTGTTGCATCCAGCGGATGCCTCCTGAAGGGGGTCCTAAAGGTAAAATGCTCATGTTTTTTCTCTTTGGGGGAGAGCACACTGCTTGTGTGTAGCAGGAGTAAACGAAATATTTGCTGAAATAATGAATTCATGAATGACTGAGGATCAGACTCTTAAAAAAGGCCTAGGACTGGGGTGCATTACCACAGTGGACTGGAGCTCAGCTTGGAGGTCACTGCTGGTTATCAAAGAAGGTCCCAGGAGAGAATGGCAATGTGTGGAGCTACCTTCCAAAACACCAACAYGTGACTACAAAATATGCAAAATTAACCCAGAAAAAGAAGGCAAGGCAGACAGGTGACATCTGAAGAGTAGACTTCAGAGTGATTCTTCTTTCCTATACATTTTTTTTGTGTTACAAGTTTTCCACACAAGCCTAAAACTCCTCTGTTCTTATCCTGTGTGTAGAAAGCTGCTTCCTGATCTGTAATAGGTCCAACAGGAGGATGCTTAATATCCTGCATAAATGAACAAGGCCGATAACCCTGAGCCATTTTCCTTAAAAAGTAGATGAGCAAATTGTGAACCAGGCCTACAAACAGGTATCCTCTGTTGAACACAAACCCAGTACCTGGCTTGCAGTCACCACTCAAGGTGTCCCTGTGCAGATCAGCACCTTTGGCAAACCAGGCTTCCTGTTTATTAAAACAGTCATTGTGTTCTTCCCCCCTCCTTCTGCCCTACAGGGTTTCTCCATTCCTTCAAAGAAGGGAACACAAGGTGTGGAAAAGAGGAGGAGGAGGAGGAGGAGGAGGAGG